TGGACTCAGTTTGCACTATTTCTGGCAGTCTGCAAAGGCCCCAAATGTCTCATAAAAGTACAGTTCTCAGAATTCCCTACCGTTATGCCAGAGCAGTTAAAGCAGTCTCAAACTGGATTATTTCTGTAGTGTGTTTTGGACCTCTGTGTGTGTGTGTGTGTGTGTGTGTGTGTGTGTGTGTGGCGGGGGGATTCTGTGCACCATCTTTATAGGATGAATGATGTCAGGGCTGTGGCTACCCCACTAATCTCATCAGGTCTCTGGCCAAAGAGCTGAATGGATCTTATCTACCCAGAGTTGTTTCCACTGGGGGAAAAGGAGTGAAGCTAGGAAAAGACTCCCTAAAATTCCCTTTAGGGCACCCCCCGGGGTCAGGTAGAGGCCTGCAGACTTCCATGGGCTGATGAAAACCTCTGGGGTCAGATTATGTCTTGTGCTGGGTTATACAAAAAGCAGCCCTCCTTGACAGTCCGGTTTTAGAATAACATTTTCTTTTGGGCAGCAGGAAATTTGTCCCAGTTGAGGAATTTACACATCCAGCTATGTGTCACATTCTGACTAATTTGGATGATTCCAGACACGTGTGAGGGAGAATGAATTAAATCTTGCCTCTTTGGGGAAATAACAAATGCTGCCGGCATTGTGTACTTACTAGTAAGTTCTAGCTCTAAATACAAATGCGCTGACATAGGAAACTGACTAAGGCTTTTTGCTAAAATGCTGCAATTTTATTTCTTTGTTTAGAGGCGATGCTGTGTGCAGTGTCAGAGCAAAGGGATTTAGAGCTAAGCTCACTGGTCCATCCAAGTACATTGTAGAAACAATAGAATGGCTAAGTCAGTTCAGTGCTCTTTGTATTTAGTTGGCTTATTTGTAGACAAACCAAGCAGAGCTTGCAGGCTGAAGTAATTTCTGGGTCCTCAGCTGTGATTTTTCCAACTCATTCATTGGGGGGAGGGAAATATATTGTTTATGTTGTATGCTTTTAATGCTGTAAACTTGGTTCGCCAAAGGGCGGTATAAAAATAAAAATTATTATTATTATTATTATTATTATTATTATTATTATTATTATTATTATTATTGCTTTTCTCCCTCCAAACATCATGCTTTTTCTTTGTTTGAACAAACTTGCTTGAACAATCAAATGACATCATTGCTATCCCCAGATATATATTTTTAAAAAAAATAGTTTATTGATTAAAAACAAAAACAAAACAAACATACAATTTATGATTAACATAAGACATTATACAAACACTATCAAATTATTCCTAAACCATTGCATCTTGATGTCGTATATAACATACATGTTGATAATATGATAGTAACCCTACAAAAAAAGAAAAACTAAAAACAGACTTCCATCAAATGGTTTGTCCAAAACAAATAGCCCATTAAATTAACTTCATAAAGTTGGTCGAAAGATTATATATCATTCAGTATTCTAAGTACTCTATATTAACTATGACGCTTCACAGCTGTTCTCCATGATTATCAAAAGGACTTAATTTCTACTATATCTTGGGAGAAAAAGAAAAAGAGAACAAAAATTCATTTAATTTTTCCTTTTACAAACAGTTTATCTCCATAGTGAGGTGATATAATAGCTTAAATCCATTTTACAATAATCCTGAGAACAATAAAATGTATTAGAATTTTTTTTAAAGTCTCCTAAAAAGATTTTGACCTTTACATGCATGTGAATTGTCCCAGCTTTTTAAAAATAACATC